AGAGATGTATAAAAGCTCAACAAAATCCTAGCAAATCCAATTCAACAGTATATGAAAAGAATCATAAACTGTGATCAAGTGAGATTTATCCTCATTAAGTAAATCGGTCAATGTGTTCTATCTTATTAACAGAATGAAGACCAAAACTCATATGATCATATGAACAGATAGAGAAAAAAGCACTTGACAAAATTCAGGATCCTTTTATGATAAAAACTTCCCAAAATTAGGTATATAAGACAAACACCACAACATATAAAGGCTGTATATAAGCCCACAGCTAAAAGCACATTCTACAGTGAAAAGGTAAAAACTTTTTCTCTACAATCAGAAACAAGACAAGGATGTCCAGTCTCATAATTGCTATTCAAAATAGTACCAGAAGTCCTATCCAGAACAATCAGACAAGAAAAAGAAAGGCATCCAGGGGCGCCTGGGTGGCTCAGTCAGTTGAGCGTCCAACTTCGGCTCAGGTCATGATCTCACAGTTCATGGGTTCGAGCCCCGCATTGGGCTCTGTGCTGACAGCTCAGAGCCTGGAGCCTGCTTCAGGTTCTGTGTCTCCCTCTCTCTCTGACCCTCCCCTGCTCATGCTGTCTTTCTCTCTCTCAGAAATAAATAAAAACATTAAAAATTTAAAAAAAAAATAAATTTAAAAAAAGGCATCCAAATCAGAAAAGAAGTAAAACCATTTGCAGATGACATAGATCTTGTATAAAGAAAACCATAAAGGGGCGCCTGGGTGGCTTAGTCGGTTAAGCGTCCGACTTTCGCTTAGGTCATGATCTCGCGGTTCGTGGGTTCGAGCCCCGCGTCGGGCTCTGTGCTGACTGCCAGCTCAGAGCCTGGAGCCTGTTTCAGTCTGTGACTCCCTCTCTCTCTGACCCTCCCCTGCTACGCTGTCTCTCTCTCTCTCCTAGAAATAAAAAAAAAAAAAAAAAGAAAGAAAAGAAAACCATAAAAAGCCCACTAGAAAACTTTCAAAATGAGTAAATAAACTCAGTAAATTTACGGGATAAAAAATCTACATACAAAAATCAGATGTGCCTATTACTAACAATGAAATATCTTAAAGGAAATTAAGAAACCAATTCTATTTAACAGTAGCTTTTAAAAAATAAAATACTTAGGAATACATTAAGCCAAGCAAATGTGAGATGCGTATAATGAAAATTATAAGACACTAATGAAAGAAATTGAAGACACAAATTAATGGAGAGACATCCCATGTTTGTGGACTGAAAGAATTAGTATTCAATTATTTCTACTACATAAAGCAACCTAAAATTGAATGCAAGCTCTATTAAAATTCCAATGGTATTTTTACCAGACACAGAAACAGAATCCTAAAATTTGAGCCACAAATGACCTCAAATAGCCAAAGAAATCTTGATCACAAAGATCAAAGTTTGAGGGATCACACTTTGTGATTTCAAACTCTCCCTCACTCTCTGCCCCTCCCCCACGTTCTCTCTCTCTCATTTTCTCTCTCAAAATAAAATAAACAAGCATTTATAAAAGTGCTATTCCAGGGGCGCCTGGGTGGCTCAGTCAGCTAAGTGTTTGACTTTGGCTCAGGTCATGATCTTGCAGTTCATGAGTTCAAGCCCTGCATCAGGCTCTGTGCTGATGGCTCAGAGCCTGGAGCCTGTTTCAGATTTTATGTCTCCTTCTCTCTCTCTGCCCCTCCCTGGCTCACATTCTGTCTGTCTCTCTCTCAAAAATAAATAAATATATTTTTTAATTAGGATAAATTATTTAAAAAAAGAAAGTGCTACTCCAGGGAACACACAAATGATAAGAACACAAAACAGCCTTACTACGGATACAGAGAAAGTTTCAGTGCTCTGCACGGAAGATCAGAGTGCCCGCAACATTCCTTTAAGTCAAAACCTAATCCAGAGCAAGGCCCTAACTCTCTCCACTTCTATGAAGGCTGCAGAGGTGAGGAAGCTGCAGAAGACAAGTTTAAAGTTAGCAGAGGTTGGGTCATGATGCTGAAGGAAAGAAACCATCTCTGTAACAGCAAAGGACAAGGTGGGGCAGCTCGTGCTGACACAGAAGCTGCAGCAAGTGCTCCAGAAGACCCAGCGGAGATCGTTCATGAAGGTGGCTGCACTGAACCACAGATTTTCCAAATGCAGACAAAGCAGCCTGTGGCTGCAAGATGCCATCTAGCACTTTCTTAGCTGGAGAAGTCAAGCTTGTTAGGGACTCACATATCATTCTGAAAATCCCAGGGTTCTTAGGAATTCTGCTAAATCTACTCTCCCTGTGCTATAAATAGAACAGCAAAGTCTGGATTATAGCACATCTGTTTATAATATGGCTTACTGAATATTTTAAGCCCACTGTTGAGATGTAGTGCTCAGAAAATAAGATTTCTTTCAAAATATCACTGCTCACTGACAAAGCACTCACAAGCTCTGATGGAGATGTATGAGGAGCTTAATGTCTCATGCCTGCTAATACAACATCCATTCTGTAGCCTATGGATCAAGGAATAATTTTGATTTTCAAGTCCTATTATTTAAGAAATATCATCTGTAAGATCAGTTCTGCCACGGTGATTTTTCTGATGAATCTGGCCAAAGTAAATAGAAACCTTCTGAAAAGGATTCACTGTTCTAACTGCCATTCACGGATGGCAGAGGTCGAAGTATCAAGAGGAGACTGGAAGAAGCTGATTTCAACCCTCATGGATGACTCTGAAAGGTTCAAGACTTCCGTGGAGAATGTAACTGTAGATGTGGTGGAAACGCCAAGAGAACTGGAAGTGGCGCTGGAAGATGTGACTGAACTGCTGCAAGCTCATGATAAAACTTGAATGGCCGAAGAGCTGCTTGATATGGACAAGCAAATTGTTTACTGTGATGGAATCCAAATTTTAAAAAATATAAAAACACTGTATTTAACTATGATGGAATAAACATTTTTTTTAATGTTTTATTTATTTCTGAGAGAGAGAGAGAGAGACAGCGTGAGCAGGGGAGGGTCAGAGAGAGAGGGAGATACAGAATCTGAAACAGGCTCCAGGCTCCGAGCTGGCTGTCAGCACAGAGCCCAATGCAGTGCTCGAACCCACGAACCGCGAGATCATGACCTGAGACGAAGCTGGACGCTTAACCAACTGAGCCACCCAGGCGCCCCTTACATTTTTAAAAATTCAAAAAAGGGCCGCCTAGGTGGCTCAGGTGAGCATCTGACTTTTGATTTTGGCTCAGGTCATGATCTCACAGTTCGTGGGTTCTGCACTGATAGGACTTTTGATATTTCTCAAAATAAAATAAACTAAAAAAAAATTCAAACAGGGGCACCTGGGTGGCTCAGTCAGTTAAGCGTTCGACTATGGCTCAGGTCATGATCTCATGGTTCGTGGGTTTTAGCCTCAAGTCGGGCTCTGTGCTGACAGCTCAGAGCCTGAAGCCTGCTTCGAATTCTGTGTCTCCTTTGTCTCTCTGCCCCTCCACTGCTCATGCTCTGTCTCTCTCTGTCTCTTAAGGATATATAAACATTAAAAAAAAAAAATTCAAAGAAATGGAATCTATTCCTGGTGAAGATGTTGTGAAGACTGTGGAAATGACAACAAAGAATTTAGAATATTTCGTACGCTTAGTTGATAAGGGAGCAAAAGGGTCTGAGGGGACTGACTCCCATTCTGAAAGAGTTCTACTGTGGGTAAAATGCTATAAAACAGCATGGCACGCTACAGAGAAATCACTCATGAAAGGAAGAGTCAATCAACGCAGCAAGCTTCATTGTTGTCTTATTTTAAGAAATTGCTACCACTCCAACCTTGCAAACTACCGCCCTGGGCAGTCAGCAGCTATGAACATTAAGGCAAGACCTTTCACCAACAAACGATGACTTTCTAGAATTTTAGATGATGGTACCATTTTTCAGCAGTAAACTATTTTTAAATTAGCCACATTGTTTTTTAAGACATAACGCTATGGCAGACTTAATAAACTACAATGTAAACATAAATTTTACATGTACTGGAAAAAGAAAAAATTCATCTGACTTGGTTTATTGTGATGTTCACTATATTGTGGTGGTCTGGAGCCAAACCCGCAATATCTCCAAGGTATGCCTATACGATTGCCAGAAGCTGGGGTGTGGAGGAAATTGGGAAATGTTGGTCAAACGGTACAAATGTTCAGTTGTAAGATGAAAAAGTTCTGAAAATGTAACATACAGCATGGTGACTGCAGTTAATAATGATGCTGTATACTTGAGATTTACGGAAAGTACTGAAAGTAGATCTTAGACACTCATACAAAAAAAAAATAACGTAATAATTTTATGAGGTGATGGATATTTAATTAACTTCAATTGTGGAAATTTTATCACAGTGTTTACATATATCAAATCAGTCACTATGCACTTGGATATATATAATTTTTTATCTCCAGAAGGCTGGTGGGGGGCGGGAAGAAAATATACCTTAAGTACAAACCTTGCAGGAGCGCACCGAAAAGTAGCCTATAGTTCAGCTAAGTAGTGACTATGACAGTCTGCAAACCCGGCACAAGCAGACATGAGGGCATGTCAGCTAAAAGAAGGGATCAGAACCTGGGACACAGGGGACCTGGCCAGCTCAGTCAGTAGAGCATGCAGTTCTTGATCTCAGGGTTGTGAGTTCAAGCTCCAAGGCTGTAGAGCTTACTTTAAACAAACCAAACCCCTGGGATACAGAAGTGAAATGGATCTGTACTCACTGAATCAAACGAATAGAGGGCAAGCTTGATGGAATCTATTACAATTACTAAAAACCTAGTAACCTCGAATCCTTTCCTACAAGGGTTCAGTACAGCAGGTACTGAGGCTGCAGTGGAGAGAAGAGGGCAGTGCAAACAAACCAGCCGATCAACACAGCAACTACCCAGAAAGCTGAGAACCTGCAGTGCCCACGGTCCACACGTGAGAGAGACTGAGAGGGGGTGGGTGGGGAGAGAACAGGACCTAGTTCAGGCCACTGGGGAGGGTGAGCGCCTTACCCAGTGAGGATACAAGTGCAAAGTTCTCCAGCATCACATCGTGGTACAGGCATCTCTGAGACTCATCAAGGAGCCTCCACTCCTCCCAGGAGAAGTACACGGCGACATCCTCAAAGGTCACACTATCCTGTTACAGTGGGGACAGATGAAACCATGAACACTGTGAGATCCCACAATCCGTCGCACCACACATCTACCCCACGCTTCTCCTCCTCCAGGGCTCCCTGCTTCAGGAATTCCAGGCCTAGGTGCCACTATTGCCCCATATCCTCAGGGTCTCCTTATTCACCGTGTTCATCCCTCAGGAACATCAAGGAGGGGGGATAGAGATGTCATCCAAATTCATCCTGGCCTGTAGGGTCCCAACCATAGTGTCAATTCCCCAGGGTCTCCCTTTGAGACTGCCAAGACACACTGAAACGTGGGCTCATGCTTTACCCTTCAGCCTCCAACACCAGGCCCCGTGGCCCTTAGCTCACACTTCCTCTTGAAGTGCACACTGCTCTGCAGACTCCCCTCTCTCACATCTCCAGTCCCCACAGCTGCACTCCCACAACGTCTACTGTGGGAAAAGCCCTGAATTCTGCTTTGAAGCCTTCCTCTGTGCCTCTGAGCCTTGCTTCAGAATCAGCTACCCAGAAGCATCTATGAATTAGATGGGTATGGGGGTGCCTGGGTGGCTCAGTCGGTTAAGCGTCTGACTTCGGCTCAGGTCATGATCTCACGGTTCATGGGTTCAAGCCCCATGTCAGGCTCTGTGCTGATGGCTAGCTCAGAGCCTGGAGCCTGTTTCAGATTATGTGTCTCCCCGTCTCTCAGAAATAAATTAAAAAAAAAACATTAAAAAGAATTTTTTTAATTAGATGGCTATGACCCACTGCCACTTCTGTGCTGGACTTGCTGTCCCCTCAGCAGTCACAACTCACAACCTCTCTGCTCAACCTTCCTTAAAACCCCAGTCAGGCATGATGACTCTCCCAAAGGATTGTGTCATCCTGCCTCAATTACTCCTTTGACTCCAAAGCCATCTTGCACCCACTTGTGCCACGGAAGCTGTAGTCACCCCCATGATATGCTCTCTCCCACACCATTCACGCTATCACTTCTCTTCATCACCTGTGTTTCTCACACTGAGGATGTCAAATAGGTGCTAAGTCAAAGAACCACTTCTCAACATGCACACTAGTTTTTCTGACCGGCTAACAGCATTACCGCTATAACATACATTACATTTCCTAAATGTGACCCACAGTTCCATTCTGGTCCTACAGCCACCACTTTTAAAAGTCTGCCCCAGACCTATGCACCAACAAGCCTGAACACCACAAACCCCACCAAAGCTCACCAAAAATTCCTACGAAACTACAGTCAGTTGTGACTGCTGAGGGGACAGCTCCTGAGTAAGCAGGAGCCTGGCCTCAGTGTCCTCTTGGCTCATTTACTCCCAAGCCTCCACAGCCTCCACTCATCCCATAGAAGCCTTCACCACCAGCCAGATCATCCTCTCTCCCATATGGTTACCACGATCACATCTCTGCTACACCTGTGTTTGTGTGCCCAGCAACCCTGATCAGATCACAGCAAGAAAATAACCTCTCATCATGCACCTCCTCTATTTGACCAGCAAAGGCATTATCATGATGAGCTGCATTTCCCAACCTACACATAGTCCACAGCTCCTCCAAGGTCTACACAACAGCCACCAATTTTGGATGTCTTCATCCTGAACCTCCTCCCCAGATTTCCAGGCCAGAGAATCCAGCTACTCACTTGCTGTTTCCACGTGCTGTTCTCTGAAACATCTCATAACAGGACTCATAACAGGACCAAACGAAACTTCTGATAGTCCCAAAGAAAATTAACCCACCATCAACGTCCCCATCCCAACTGACGGAACTTCCATCCCTTCCTTCAGCTGCTAGGACCAAACACACCAGATTCATCCCTGACTCTTTTTGCTCCCTCACCTACAACATCAAAAAATCTACTTTGCCCTTCGTTAAAAAATGGGAGAGTACAATTTTTCACCTACCTCTCTGACCACTACTCTGGTTCATCAACATTCATTTGGATTACAGCAGCTGCCTCCTCCTGGGCTCCCTGCCTTCTCCCCTACCCCCATAGTCTGTTATCTTTTCTACAACCTAATAGAGCCTATTAAGATCCCCGCCATCCCTCTTATCCAAGCCTCTCATGACCTCCATAACAGGTGCTCAATTTCTTTTTTTTTTTTATATTTTTTAATTTATTTCTAGGAGAGAGAGAGAGAGAGAGAGAGAGAGACAGCGTGAGCAGGGGAGGGTCAGAAAGAGAGGGAGGTACAGAATCCGAAACAGGCTCCGGACTCTGAACTGGCAGTCAGCACAGAGCCCGACGCGGGGCTCGAACCCACGAACCGCGAGATCATGACCCAAGTGAAAGTCGGACACTTAACCAACTAAGCCACCCAGGCGCCCCACAGGTGCTCAAATTCTTAACAGCCATAGTAGAGGCCTGATCCCTGACCCTCAGCTCTTTGTTCTCAACAGGGAGAATGGAGACAGGCTGTGCCTGTCCAAGCATCTGCACAGTTTGGTATCTATTTCTGGGATCTCACACCTGTGTATGGAACCCTTGGCCGGCACTCACGACCCTTGGCGCAGGGGATCCTCAGGATCCCAAAAACCAGCAACTGGAAAAACAGCAAGGGAAGAGGTTCAAGACACCAGTCCCGGGCACCGAACTTGGGATGTAAAGATCAGTGAGGGTCTGAGTCAACCTCTCCTTCCTTGTGCAGGTGCCATAAGAACTTTCAAAACCTTCAGAACTTGCGGTTGAGTGAAGGCAACCAGGGCTGGTCTCTGCAAGCTCAGGCCTCCCCTGCACCCCGCCCGGCCCTGGAACCCAAGAGACCACGGGCTGACCAACCTCGGCGCCTCAGTCCTCAGTGCTCCCCCTACCAGCTCTGTGACCTTCGATAAGAACCGCCCTCCCGGTGCCTCCTCGTCTTCATCACCCCCTTTCATCTCTCTTGAGCAGCTTTCGGAAAGCTATTCACACCTTAACACGGACTGTGTCTCTCTTCGACCCTCCCGCGTCTTCAGAACGGAGGTACTACAGCCCAGCCCGCCAGTACCCCGTGACCCCGCCGCACACCCTGTGTCCCCCGAGGGCAGAAGGCTGACCCCACACCCCCAAATCCTCCCGCCTCCGGACCCCCTGCAGCCGCTGCACCAACCGGCCCCTCCCCTGCACCAGCTCCGCGTCACGCCGGCGCTCAGACACGGGGCCCCGCCCACGAGCGCGTCCCCAAACCGGACACCGGTATCTGGGCGGCGGGGCCTCGAGCAAGCGCCCCGCGCTGGGGCCTTGAGGGTCTGAGTGGGGGGTGACGGGGAGGCCCCGGGGGCCGCGCATTTACCTGAGCCAGGTCCCTGGGCGCCGCCGCCGCCATTGGACTGTGTGGGCGGAGCAGGGCCCAGGGCGGGAGGGAGAGTAGCGGACACCGCCACGGGACAGCTCGGGCGGCGGCCTCGCCGAGCCGCGGACCCGCCTCTCGGCCGTGGGGACAACTCCTAAGCCTTGACAGTTCCGTCACTTCGGTCCCGCCCCGGCACGCCCGAGAGCAGCAAAATGGCCGCCACAAGGAGGAGGCCGGAAGTCCCGCCCCCACGCGATGAATTCACGCGGAAGTGCTTCCATTGGCTCAACGCCGCGCATAGTCTTCTGGGTAATGTAGTTTGCGGGCCCCCAGAGACGGCAGGAAGGGTTTTCTACGTCTCTACCGGAGCATTAGCCCTGCGGCTCCTTGAGGAATGCTGGAAACATAGGGGAAGGGAGGGGGTTTGCTTCTTGTGAACTGCGGTGAAGAGGCATAATTTCATACTCCGTGAATGTCACCCATTTCCCAGAGGATAATATTGTTATTGAGATGTTCCCAAATCCATTGATCTAAATGGTCCTATCATTCCATAGAGTCATTCAGACATAAAATAATCCAAGCATAGCTTAAGGCAGTATTGTATTCCTTTTCAAATGAATGTAGCTGATGGGTTTGTCATCAGTTTTGTGAGTTCTATTGTGATTGGCTAGGAGCAAGGGGATAAACTTTACACAGGGCCATGACAGAATAAAGGAGAGATGTTAGGTCCCTGGAAGCAGGTGAACAAGCAGGATGTCTGCCTCTGGACCCCATAGAAAATTTGCTCCCTGCAAGGTCAGTGATTGTGCCCCACCCATTTTTAACTATCTAATATTTCTTACTCATTATGCTAAGATATACTCAATTCTCCTTAGCAAAGTGACATCTACCTCAAATGGAGACCAACCTTGGCGCTATTTTAGTTTGGGTCAGTGGCTACAACTTTCACAGTTGCAGAATGTCTGATGCAGAGTGTCTGAACCTCCAGATAAAGGAGGTAACTGACTCCCATAATATCATGTCCTGGCTGGTAAGCGATTATCATTTTCCAGTGACTGCAGGTACAGTTCTGCATGGGGAACTGAGATTATTTCAGAAGAGTAGTTTGGAAATGCAAATTTCAGAAAATTAGTAGTAATTTTTTTTAAGGTTCTATTTTTAAGTAATCTCTGTATCCAACTTGGGGCTTGAACTCATAACCCTGAGATCAAGAATCACATGCTCTTCTGACTGAGTAAGCCAGGTGCCCCAGCAATAATGTTTTTGCAGTTTAAAGATAGTGTCAGAAATAGCTCTGGGGAAATACCAGGGGACGTTGAAGAAAATTAAGACGTTAGAGAATTTTCAGCACAGCTATTTTTCATGAAAACATTAAGCAATACTGAAGAGCCAAAAATTAAGTCCTCCATTAAGAGAAACCTCGGGCTGCACGTAGCCCCAGTCCCAGTCCCAGGAAAAGCCTTAGACTGTTCAAGGTTAAAGCCATCCTCAGACCGCCCTCAGTTCAGCTAATCAAAAAGAAAAAAATAGAAACATTCCTATGGTCTGAGTCAAGGCTGGAAACTGCAGATACAAACTAGCCAATTTCTCACTGCTTGTCTGAACCCCATGTGGGCCCTTTAAACTCACCTCACAACTGGTCATTTTCAAAGGATTCTCAGAAGTCATGATTGGGTCCCACCAAAAGTAATGAACACCTCACAGACACTGAATGGTCGAAGCTGTAATTGTAATTAGTGCTTATGTGATGATGCTACATGTACTGTAACACCCCCATCCCTTACTCCTTAAAAACCCTGTTCGCTATTGTTCTTGGCTTCACCTTGCTGCCATGACACCAGCAGGCTGGGTGAGCCCCTGCTCAAGCTTGTAATAAAGACCCTTTTGTACTTGCATCGGTGCCGGCTCCTTGGAATGAGGGGCCTAGGCAAACTAAACCAAAAACTCAACCAGCTTTTCTGCTTCTGTACAAGAGCTTGCACTACGGGAAACTAAAACCTAACTAGCTCCTTCCACTTCTGTACCATTGCTTAAGGCTTGAGTTTCAGCTTCCCCGGAGCTATCAGGCAGCAGCATGCTGCCCAAGGCCGGAGAAACTGCCCACCACATCACTCCACCACACTACCTTGGCAACACCTAATCAGGAAAGGCCAGCAGCCACCCTCCGCCTTACTGAAGGAAGGGCCTAGGGAGAGAGAAGTTAACCCGTTAGTCGCCGAACAAGACTCTAGACTCGCTCTATGATTGGCTAAATTCAAAGGTATCCTAAATGTTGTAATTGGATCCCGCCAAAAACCTGATAGCGGGAACCAATCAAATATGGTATATATTCACATTTAAATATTAACCAATGACAAACTTGTAACCATAGAGATCTCCTGTCCCTCCCCACGACTTGTTTACTCCTGTCTATAAAAAGGCTGCAAAGGCTTTGTTCAGGGCCTCTCAGTGTCACCGGCGACAAGTGCGCGGAGGTCCGAGTTCGAACCTGCAAATAAACAACCTTGCCGATTGGCTTTGACTCTGGTCTCTGGTGGTCTGTTTTTGGGGTCTCTCGAACTCTGGGCATTTCAATACCACCTTGGAAGGAAGAGTGGAAGTGAACATTTATAGTAGCCAGATAAGTAAAAATGGATAAGAAAATGAGGTGCCTTGTTTATTCACAACTCTACCAATGTTCATTGAGCAAATACTCAGTTGCAGGCACTTAAGCACTTTTGTAATGTGAATGGAAACAGTAGAGGACACGTGAGTGGCTCAGTTGGGTAAGCATCAGACTCTTGATTTGGGCCCAGATCATGATCTCACCGTTTGCGAGTTCAAGCCCCACATTGGGTTCTCTGTTGTCAGTGCAGAGCCCATTTCGGATCTTCTCTCCCTCTCTCTCTCTCTCTCAAAAATGAACATTTTTTTAAAAAGGTTAAAAAAAGAGAAACATTAGGACACTGGAAAGACAAAGACTCATGCAATTTACGTTCTTCAAAGAACAGAGGTATATAGCAATCCCTATCAAAATAACACCAGCATTCTTCACAGAGCTAGAACAAACAATCCTAAAATTTGTATGGAACCAGAAGAGACCCCATACAGCCAAAGCAATCTTGAAAAAGAACACCAAAGCTGTAGGCATCACAATCCTGGACTTCAAACGGTATGACAAAGCTGTAATCATCAATACAGTATGGTACTGGCACAAAAACAGACACTCAGAGCAATGGAACAAATAGAGAACCCAGAAATGGACCCACAAATGTATGGCCAACTAATCTTTGGCAAAACAGGAAAGAATATTCAATGGAATAAAGACAGTCTCTTCAGCAAATGGTGCTGGGAAAACTGGATAGCAACATGCAGAAAAATGAACCTGGACCACTTTCTTACACCATACCAAAAAAGAAACTCAAAATGGATTAAAGACCTAAATATAAGACCGGAAGCCATCAGAATCCTAGAGGAGAAAGCAAGTAAAAGAAGCAGCAGCTACTTCTTACTCAACACATCTCTAGAAACAAAGGAAACAAAACCAAAAATGAACCACTGGGACTTCATCAAGATAAAAGGCTTCTGCACTGCAAAGGAAACAATCAGCAAAACTAAAAGGCAATCGACAGAATAGGAGAAGATATTTGCAAATGACATATCAGATAAAGGGTTAGTATCCAAAATCTATAAAGAACTTATCAAATTCAACAGCCCAAAAAAACAAATAATTCAGTGAAGAAGTGGGCAAAAGACATGAATAGATGCTTCTCCAAAGAAGACACCCAGATGGCAAGCAGACACATGAAAAAATGCTCAACATCACTCATCATCAGGGAAATACAAATCAAAACCACAATGAGATACCACCTCACACCTGTCAGAATGGCTAACATTAACAACTCAGGAAACAACAGTACATAAGGGACTAGAATGTGGACTCATTTCTGCTTGCTTTTTGATCCTTATAGTCCTTTATGCTGGCCTCAAATTTGTCAAGCCCATGCTGGCAGACTTTCATGAGCCCATTCAAGCCTTCCTGAAATTGCTCAACAGCTGGAAGAGCACCTCGAGTCTGAATGCATAAATTAATTTTGTTCTCTGAAAGATGGGTTGTAGTGTAAGCACAAAATTCCACTTTCAGGTTCTTCATGATCATGTAACAAAGAGAATTGCTTAGGGTATGGCCTCCTCCTCGTGCAGTACAAATGTCACACAAATGTCACACATTTCCAGGGCTGTTTTCCTCTCACCTTCAGCCATTGAGGCTCAATCCAAATATATTTCTCTCCAGCTCCTGGTCCTCTTCCATCATGGGGACAGCTTCCTGAAGCCTCAGGTGGTGCTGGAGGATCAGAGGCTCTAAGGCATATTGTGAATGGTGAGGATGAAGCAGGAAGGAAGGAACAACCTATACAAGGAGCCAAGGACAGAAGCAAAAATGAATAAACATTTAAAAGAAGAAGATTCTCTCTCTCCCTCTGCCCCCTCCCTGCTTGCTCGCTCGCTCTCTCTCTCACTCAAATAAGTAAATAAGTAAATAAATAAATAAATAAATAAAGGCTTAAAAAGCCAATTTATAGTTTTGCCACATTTAAAAAAATTATACCTGTTGTGTCCCCAACTACATCTCTTGGATGTGGAGCCTTGTTATTTATGTCTTTGGCTAAGAGAACACATGAAGTGAGAGCTGTGTAGTCTGCTGGGGTGGCCACAACAAAATAATCACAGACCGGGTGACTTCAACAACAGAATGTATTTCTCACAGCTCTGGATGCTGGGAGTTGAAGAGGAAGGGGTCAACAGGTTCGGTGATCTGTGGTCTCTCTCCTTGGCTTGTGGATGGCTACCTTCTAGGTGTGTCCTCATGGGTCCTTTTCCTCCTGGTGAGCATAGTGTTGGTGTTTATTCCTCTAAAAGAAAGCCATTTCAAATAGGGTAGAACCCCACAATCATGACCTCATTCAACTTTAATGACCTCTTCAAAAGTAGTCACTTAGAGGTTAGGGCTCCAATATATAAAATGTATTATATTAATGTTTTAGTGGTAATAAAAGGCAAAGTAGCTACTAAAGCTAGATGATAAAGAGACAAAGACATTCAACTATTTGAAAGTATCTTCCAGTTGCCAATGGCTCCCAATAACTTCTAAAAGTGACTTTTACGAAAAAATAATTTCCAAAAGGTGCATTTAGTGGTATTTACTTACAGTGTCAACTGTCAATGCATTGTTTCTGTTTGTTTGTTTGTTTGTTTGTTTTAAGGTTACTTAGTTATTTTGAAAGAGACAGAGACAGTGCACATGGAGGAGGGGGAGAGAGAGAGAATCC